GGCCCAAAGTCCCATCCCATCCCACCTGGCTTTTAATGCTTCTAAGGATACGGGACTCGCCTATACCTGGAATGTGTGCTGCTGATCATAAACCTTTGAGCCCAGGAGCTGAGAGTGTTTTCAGTCCACCTGACTGTTCACTATCTAGGCCATATATTACCAGTTCAGCTATAAGCAACGTACACTGTTCAGCAATAGGTTTCTACAATGTAAATAAGACATAAGCCATATATATATATCTCTTCTGCAGAATTTAAGTTACAGCAACAATTCAAGCTGGGCACCTCTGAGGATAGGCCACAAATACAGAAATCCCTAGGCACTTATACAGTCTTTATACTGTATATCCCCCAACCCTTATCTGGGGGTCCAGACCAGCCATACCAAGGCTGGGGGTCTTTCTGCTCTGGGTTGACTCCCATCACTGCCTCTAGACACACTGTTTTCTCTCATCTTCAAGGCTGCTAAATCCGCACAACGGAGTCTTTCTTATATTTCAGTTTGCTCCTGCTTCTAAGTGGGTAGAAGTTAAGCGGCCTGCATGCACCCTTAGGCCTTGGCAAATTTAGCTTCTTATGTTAAGAAAGCTCTGTGTGAGATTCCTATATTCAAGCAGCATAGCAAATTGACGACAGTCGTCTCATCGTAAAAGATTATGAGGTTGGTAAGCATGATTTCCTCTTCATTAATCCATGCTGACCCAGTCACTTCCTTGTCCTCCTTTTTTGGAGGTTGTTTTCAGGATTATTTGCTACATCACCGTCCCAGAGATCAAGGGTGACTGATCTGCAGTTCCCCAGATCTTTCTTCTTGAGCAGTGGAGGCACTCGCCTTTTTCCCCTCAAGAACACTCTCCAGTTAAAATGATCTTTCAAAGATGATCAAAAGTGGTATCTCAGAGACAAAGCCCAGCTCCCTCAGCAATCACAGGCACATCCACCCCATTCAAGCCTTTGAAATCACTCATATCCAATTTCTCTAAGCACCCCCTCTGCTGATCCTCCTCCACCAAGGCTAGGCCTTCCTTTCAACATGATTTCATTTTTATGGTGATCTTAGAAAGAATTCCAGTATTTTTAATTACCTATCTTAAGGAGAAAAGCAAAGACCCATTTGAGCTACATCCTAGGTCCCTTATGTCCAGAACAGTACAGTGCAAGTCTTATTGGTATTTTACAGATTTCATGGGGGAAAAAAAAAAATACAAAATGAAACAAAACATGGACATCACAGGTGCTATTTATTTGAGGTATAACCAAGATGTCTTGAGGATTGGGTGGACATGATGATCAGATGAGGCTGAGAACCAAGTCTGTTCAGCTTACAAAGAGAATGCAAACGGCAACACATAGCAAAAGTAAAGCATAACTCTTCCCATGTGCACAGGATTAGGATAAGAGAAAAATGGACTCAAGCTGCAATACAGGAAGTCTCTGACAAGAAAAATATGAGGGCTTATTTCTTGATGGTGGGGCTTGTTTGTTTTTATTCATCCTCCTCCCCCATTAATTGAGGGTGATCAAACTGACTGCACAAGGAGATTGTGGAATCTCCAGCATTGCAGGGATTCAAAACACAGCTAAGCAACACTAGAGCAAACTTAACTGAATGACCTTTGAACAGGAATTTGATTTAGATTAACCATTCAGACAACAATTCTATGATTGTGTGAATCCTTTCCATATAAAAACAACTCAATCGGATGTAGAAAGGAAAGGCAATAGAAGGAAGGAGCAAAACTCAGATCCTCACTCACTAGACTTCAGTGAAATACCTGGACTGTCTCCGGACCCATATATCTTGTCTTCACTTCTGCATAGAGATCACCTCTATTCATGAACAATAAGTATCCCATGACTGATGGCTTCAGTTGGGTATAGTTAAGGAACCTTTCTAGAAGGCCAAGGCTTGGGGTTTTCATACTCTCAAACTGAGTTGAAGTTTCTGAGTCTAAACTTCACCTGAACTGAAAGGCTAAAAAATGTGGTTACATCCAACTTCTTTCTTCAAAACAAAGTTAATCATTCTGAATCCAGAGCAGGCAGCTACTGTAAGGCTTTGAGCAGGATACCATCTGAGATCCAGATTTTCCAGTTGACTGGCTTTAAACAGATAAGTGCTTTACCATCAGGCACAGTGACTCATGTGAAGTGCCCAGGGTTCTCCTCTGACCAAGAGAGGACAAGCGTTCTCAAGGAATGATTCAGAGCACTGTAAAGGGTCATTTGGATGTTCAAATCCCTCTGAAGAAGCCTACACTCCCTTTGCTGAAATCAGTGAGGTTTCTCTCCACCCAACTCTCCAGCCTGTCCAGGTCCTGCTGAATGGCAGCACAGTCTTCTGGCATGTCAGCCACTCCTCCCAGCTTTGTATCATCAACAAGCTTGCTGTGAGTGCACCCTATTCCTCCACTGAGATCACAGACGAAGATATTGAACGTGACTGGAACCAGCACCAACCCCTGGGGAACACCACTAGCTACAGGCCTTACACTGGACTCTGCGCTACTGAACACAGCCCTCTGAGCTCTGTAGCCAGTTCTCAATCCACCTCACTGTCCACTCATCACCCCACACTTCCTGAGCTTACCTATGAGGATGTAAAGGGAGACAGCATTGAAAGAGCACTGAAATAACTTTCCTTCAACTTGAAGACAGACTAAAGAAGATCAACAACAGCGATCAAAATTACAGGATGGCTTATGTATGAGGACCAGAAAGTAGAAAACAACTTCAGCATGGAAAAAAAAAATTCAATTGAGGAAAAGTGTGATAAGCTACTTATGAAAAAACTGATGAGAAGCAGAAAACAAGAGCAAACAAATTCAGTCAGGTATCATCATTCCAGGAGAGAGTTATTTATTAACTTGGAAAGCCAGATAGATTTACAAAATTAAGCTCTAAAGGGTAATTGTTATTGCACATTCAGTACCATTACAACACAATTTAAGTTAACCTACACTGCAACAGAACAAAAGCATTTTGTTATGACATCAACCTCTACCCCTCAAAAAACACTATTTCATCATTCTGCATCAAAAAGTTAAGTAATTAGGAACAACAAAGAAAACCTATCAACTATTCCTCTGATGGGGAGGTTCCTACTATGCCCAGGATAAAAGAGAACTCTGAATTTAGGGATTTGTTGATTTGGGAAAAAGAGACTATGATGTAACAAAGGACTGTGCTAGGGACAAAACTTCAGGTTTTACTGCTACCATTTCTCTATTACAGGTAGGATGGTAAGACATGGCAGACATTCAAGAGAAAAGCTCAATATCTCTGAGTTCTGGAAATGGTTAAAGGAGCATAGGAAAGAAATCTGAAGATAATGGCTACCTTCACCCTCCCCAGTATATCAAAGTTGCTCTGACAAGTCAGCTTAGTTTTATAAACAAAGCTAGATACATTTCCACTGATGTTTTCAAAACTTCTCTGATGCTATTTTCTTTAGGCTCGTCAAAGCAGAAATCTCCTTAAGTTAAATTATCAAAAAATGCCCATTGATGCTTTTTCCTACTGCTCTGTAATTAATAGTATTAATGTGAGAAACACCATTTAATTACAAAAAAAAAAAAAGTTTGAAATCACTTTTTTTTTTTTTAACCTTTTTTTTAAAAATCTTTAAACACAAAGATTCTGTGCAAACAGTCATGAACAGGCCAAGTAGTCATGACACAAAACAAAACTTGTAGAGGGCAGAATATTTTTTATTAGACATAGCTGTGGGAAAAAAAAAAAAAAACAAAAAACAACCCTCTGGAGGGGAAAAAAACACGAAAATAAAAACCAATAGAAGGTAACCATCTTATACACCCAATTCCCCTCTTGCTGAAGAAGAAAGGACAAGTGGTTAAGGTGGGAGCTTTTACGTAAGTTGCTCTGGGCACTTAGTTTCCAAATTTGAAAGTGATGTCGTGCCCCAAACATGATGAAATTCCATCCCCCTCCTCAACCTCCAGAGTCACGGCAGCTGGTACAAGCTGCATACGAACACTACCTGGCAAATATCAGCCTGGTTTCATGTGCACACACCACTCCACTGTTAAATCATTACCTGAATCAAGGTATTTACTTAAAGATTCATCCAGAGGAGGTACAGGCAGCGGAGGCAGGGAATCTTGGTACTGAAACGTTCGCTCTTCAGAGGACTCGAGCACTTGCTTTTCCATGCTGTAGACCTGCAGCACGATATTAGGTATATTAATGACGCTGCAGATAAATGATACACTGCCTCCCTATTCCTTTTTTATTTTCCTTTCTTTATTTCATTCACACAGTGAAAGGCATATGTCATAGGAATCTCTATGGACAACACCCAAACTTGAGGATTCTGTTGGCCAGCAGCCTCAGAAGCATATACACATCAGGGGAACGTTGACCAAAGGGCTCCCAACCGCTTCTTTCTTGGTTAATTCTAACTAATAAACTCAAAACTACGCCTTTTCCTTCTCAAAACGCAAGCAGCTCGCCCCCGACCCACCCTGCTACGTTCCCCAAACCCCTCGCACACCTCCAGCCCGCCGCCTACCTACCCGCGCTGCCGAGCAGCCGCTGAGGGGCCGTTACCCGACCGAACCTTCGAGCCCCGAGCGAGATGGGCCCACGCGAGGCCCGAGGCCGCTGCCACCGCACCACGGCGAGTTTACACGTAGGCTCGGGGCCTCGGCCCGGAGAAGCACGGAATCAGCCCAGCCACGGCGCTGCCCGGCCCGTACCGCTCCCTCTCGAGCACCGCTCACCTCCCCGAGCCGCCGCCTTTCGCGGCCGATCGCTCCCCGCCCGCCCTTACCTCTGCCCCACTTCCAAGCGGGCCCGGAAACACGGCGGGGTGGGGCGGGGCGGGGCGGCCGTGCGCAGGCGGCCGGGGCTGGGGGCCCTGCGGAACTGCAGGGGAAGCGGCTTCGCGGAGCTCAGCGGCTCGGGGGGCGCTGCTGGGCTCGGGGAAGGGAGGGAAAGGAGGAACCGGCTTCTGCTTGGTGTGCGCCGTGTGCGCCCTGCGTGAGCGGTCCCGGCGGTGTGCCTCGGGGGGCCGTGTGTGGTCGTCTCCTGAGATCCCCCGTGGGCTACGCTCGGGGCTGTGGGACCTGTAAGGAGCTCAGGCCGGTCCTCCGGGGTTCCGCTGCCGTGGGTGAGTGGTCAGCCAGGGAGAGTGCGGAGGAGCCTTTGGGGTAGCGGTGCGATGAGCAGCTCTGCAGAAGAGGAGGGTGAATGTGAACGGACAGCAAGGCTAAGAGTGGGAGTAAGAGCAGCCCTCGCTCCTGGAAGCAAGCGCTGCGCTACGCTTATGGCTCAAGCAAGCAACACAAGGCCTCCCAATCCTACTTGGCTACGGTTAATGAGCTTTCTGCCTTAAGTCACCTGCAGGACTGCCCTTTGGCACCTCCAGAAGTGCCGCTGCTACCCATATGTAGAGGTGAGCAATGTGCAGCGGGTAGCCATGGCTCAACACAGGTGTACCACGCCTTTGTCCTTGGGGGACATCACTGCCTGGAAGAGCTGCTGAGACCTTGAGGCCTCAAGGAACGCCTCTCAGTGATTTATAAAAAGCTGTTGGATGTGACATTGCTATTGCGGATAGGAGGCTGAGGTGCATGTTAGGCTATCTGCGTCATTCAAGAGGCAGGAGATGTAATCTCATTCTTCAAAACAAAATAAAACAAAACAATTTAAGAAGTTTTGCAGTATGCAACAGTTATTTTTAAGCAAACTTAAGGCTTACTTAAGATTTCACTTCACAGTTGAGAATTGAGCTTGGAACATGGCAAAGTCAGCATGTGATAGAAAACATTGCGTGTGATTTTTGCAATCCTTGGTAATTATACTATCTCTTGATCATTCTTGCCGTGAAGCATTAGTAATTGTGAAATAAGAGAGACCACTGTTTCATAAACTGAATCCCAAATGGCAAATTTTTGAAATGCTGCCTTAAAGCCTTTAGTTGTAGCAATGGGTATTGCTGTGCTGTTATTTGAGTTGGGGCCTAGCCAAAAATTTTCCATCCACGCATTTTAGATAACAGCAAGATATGCTAATATTCTGTTTAGACTGTAGTGATGAAAACAAGGAGAATTTTGTTTTCTGTGTTGTTCCTCAATATTGTACTTACACAGGAGCACACCTAGCATGGACACTGTGAAAGCAAATTGGGAAAAAATGAGTTGTTCATCTGCTAAATTGCTGCTTAATCCTACTCTTGTGCTTATCCTCAGAAGAGGATCATAATCTAAAACTGTTCATATCTAGAGATATTAAAGACAGAAAATGTTGTAAAAGGAACCATATCCCCTTTCTTTGCTTTCTTCATGGCTTTAGCATCACTGGGCACCAGTCTCTGTGGTTTCCAACAGTGATTGTGACCTGTTCACAAGATCTGCCATGGTATCCAGTGGGCAAAAAGCCTTGTCCTCTGAGTCTCATGTGGCCTCTCCAGCCACAGGAAGCGATGCAGCCACCCAGATGGGTGTTCCTGAGGAAACATACAGCCATCTGAGTTTTGAGATGCAGGATGTGCCCGAGTCTTCAGACAGTGCCTGAAAGCAGCAGCAGTATAAAACCATGACAGTACACCTGTGGAAGATCTGTTCAGGTTGAAGAACTGCTCAACCTGGTCGCAGAGCTTTCAGAGAAGGTGGGCAGGCTGAGGAGCTTCAGGAAATCAGAGAAGGATTTGATTGGTGGAGTCATACTCTACCGTCCACCCCTGAGGCAGAGTCATTACCCAGTCATAACACAAGAAACAAGGGTTACCCTACTCTCATGCCACCAGCAGAAAGGAGGATATCTAAGAGACGGAGGAATGGAAGCAGGTTTCTACCTGGTGTGACAGATTAGCCCTCTCCCTGCCTATGTCACTTTCCCAGGTGCCCCTACACACCAGGTGTACAATGTGGATGAAGGTCCATCCAGGTTGGAGGGGTCACCTGGGGCAAGTCAGCCTACCCCTATGTCACAGCAATCTTCATCAGGAATAGAAGAGCTACTGTTATAAGGGACTCCCATCTGAGGGGAACTGAGGATCGCTGCCCAGATTAAACTCATAGGGAAGTCTGCTGCTTCTGTAGAGTCCAGCTAAGAGACATCACTAGAAAAATCACTTGGCTGGTTCAGCCCTCTGATTATTACCCATTGTTGTTTTTCTCATTTTGGCAGTTATGAGATAGCTAAGAGAAGTCCAAGGGTGGTCAAAAAGGACTTTAGGACTTTGGAAGATTGCCTAAAGGACTGGTGCACAGGTAGTTTTTTCCTCTATCCTTCCAGTAGCAGGGATGATCAATATTAAAAGGAACAGGAAGACCCAAGAGGTCATTACATGGCTCCAAGGCTGGTGTCACTGGCAGAATTTCGGGATCGTGGGACCTAAGCACGGGATGAGCTGGTCAAAGGAAGTCATTGCCCTGCTTTCGTGTGGCTTCCCTTTGAATACTGGGGTGCCACAGTCAGAAAGGACATAAAGGTATTAGAAGTGTCTAAAGGAGGGCTACAAAGATGTTGAGTGTCTGGAGGGGAAGATGTATGAGGGGCAACTGAGGTCCCTGAGTTTGCTCAGCCCAGGGCAGAGGAGTGGAGGGGAGGCCTGATGGCGGCTGCAGCTTCACACAGGGAGCAGAGGGGCAGCGCTGAGCTCTGCTCTCTGTGGCAGCGACGGGGCCAAGGGAATGGCATGGAGCTGCGTCAGGACACGTCAGATTGTATATCAGAAAAATGTCCTTCACCAGGGGGTAGTCAGGTGCTGGAACAGGCTCCCCAAGGAAGTGGTCATGACACCGAGCTGCTGGAGTTCAAGCGTCTAGACAAGAATCTTAGTCATGCGGTCTGATTTTTGATTGGTCCTGTGCAGAGCCAAGAGTTGGACTCTGGACTCAGTGATCCTTATGGGTCCCTTCCAACTCAGGATATTCTGTGACACTGCAATCAATTTTAAAATATTTTCTGTGACATAGCCTGCTGCACTCAGAATAAAATTTCATCACTTCTGTAATATCTTAAGACTCATGGCTTATCTGAGCAGGACTTTGTTCCCTAATTTCTTTCCTTCTATGTATGGTGCTTCATCTGCAGCAGTAGCACCTTCTGGCTGCTTCCCTACTGTTATACACCTTTGCTGCCAAAATGGCTTCCCATTGCCAATCTCAGTACCCTCCTTTCTCTGAGTCACTTTGCTCAATCGCCTTTTGCTTCCTGCAATTACTGGTAAAGCAGCTACTTGTTGTCTAGCACATAAGAAAGTAGCTAGGATCAGTGACCTACTAGAATTGCATTGGTATGTTCAATTCACCAATAAATTCTATGAAGGTCTGTGTTAGCTATGCTGTGAGCACATCAGCTCCAAGTCTTCCACAGGTCAGAGTATACTTTCATATATTTTTTCAAGACTAGGTAATGACAGATGGCTTTCTGGGGAAAAGAATTTCAGTTGGTAAAGAGGTATGTGTATTTTTTGCTATCAGTTTTAGGATGTTAGTAACTAATTAACCTGTTTAGATACAGTCTGCTAAAAGTGTAGCTCAGAGAGATAACGTGCTGGGAAAAATGTGACCAATGCATCAAAAATTTGAGGATATGCATAGTTTTCTCTTATAATGTATAGGTGTAAAGATGAAAGATTAAGATCTTGTCTTAGTTTTCCAGGTTTCCTGAGCTCAGGAGCTACTGATATGTGGTTTCCTACAGATTTTGTCCTGAAGTTTAATCACTTTGCTGTCTCCTGTGTGCAGCAGCATACCACTGGTTTTGCCCGAGTGGAAAAACTTCTAGGGATAGTCCTACAAATCCTGTAATGGATATTATTATACACGTTACAGAGTGCGTTCTCACAATTGGACATTTCTTCCCATGACTATTGTTGTCTAAAAAGCGTAAGTGCCTTGGAAAATACATGTTTTAAATTTTATTAAAAATGATGTGAATGATGTATATGAACAAGCCTATGTCAGGTGTAGTTATGTATAAAGCTGTGGGACTGTTGGATCTATTTCTTTGTTTGTCTTAGTGCTAGGTAAGTGCAAGTGTTTTGTTGGTTCATATGCTTTCCACTGTATTTTTTAGTTGGTATTTGTCCACTTGCTATAAGATGATGAGTAGAACAAATGTAAAACATCGTCATTCTCTGAAAAGCCTGTGTCTCAAAAGTGTGATTAAAAAATAATGTAAAATGTCCATTTTAAATGTGCTGCTAAATGTGCTGCAAGACCACATCTGTATTCATTTTGGAATCCTCTGTACAAGAAAGCTATTGACATCCTGAAAGGAATCTGACAGGGGCTGCTGCCATTGTGGCCAGAATGGATGATGTGCAAACAGAGGCTGAGAATGCTAAATGGGGATTTAATTAATACCTTCACCTCTTTTATGGAAAGGTACAAAGAAGGAAGTGGTATGCTCTTCTCTGGGGGTACCCAGCAAAAGCACAGGCACCAAAATACATGAACTGCAACAGGGGAAAGAAAAATGAGACGAAAATTACCTTCACTGTGGGCCTGGTCACGCTCTGGAACTGGGTTACCCAGGGAGACTGTGGAATCTCTGTCCTTGGAGATATTCAGAACTCAGCTAGATATGGCTCCAAACTCACCTAGCTTTAAAATTGAGTCAGACTTCAAAGATGGCCCTGGTTGTTTGGGGGTTTTGGACTATATGATCTGTAGAGATTTCTTCCAGCCTAAATTATTCTTTGATTTATCTGCCTGCTCTTTTCATCTTTTATACTGCTTTTTATACAACTAGGATTTTTAATGTATTCTAAATGTAGAGAGAGTAATGGAATATACACTTCTCTAGGGAATATTTTCTGAAAACAAAATTCATACTTTTTTTCACACTGAATCATTTCTTTGCCAATAGCTCCATAAAAAGTAAAATAATAAAAATTAAAAAAATATATTTTTGACTGTGAACTATCTCAAGCATATTTTGGCTGCCTTTAATTGATCGGATCATATACCAAATTTAAAATGTGTGGTTAAGAAAAGGTACAATCCAGGAAAGTCTTGATTGTACAGAGGAATTTTTATATATCATAATACCTTGGTGCAGTTGACTCTGTAGAGGGAAGGGATGCCATCCAGAAGTACCTGGACATTCCTGAGAGGTGGGCCCATTCCAACCTCATGAAGTTCAAGCTTTCCAAATGCAAGGTCTGCACCTGGGATGGGGCAATAAATACAGGCTGGGTGGAGAATGGCTTGAGAGCAACCCTGAGGAGAAGGATTTGGGGGTGTCAGTTTATGAAAGACTCAGCATGAGTCAGCTTGCAGCCCAAAAGACCAGCTGTAACCTGGCTTACATCAAGAGAAGTGTGACCAGCAGGTCAAAGGAGGTGATTCTGCCCCTCTACTCTGCTCTCGTGAGACCCCCACCTGGAGTACTGTGTCCAGTTCTGGGACCTCCAACACAAGAAGGACGTGGAGCTGTTGGAGAGGGTCCAGAGGAGGGCCACAGAGATTATCAGAGGGCTGGAGCACTCTGAGCCTCCTCTGTGAGGAAAAGAGAAGGCTCCAGGGGGACCTTACAGTGGCCTTCCAGTACCCAAAGGGAGCCTATGGAAAAGCTAGGGAGGGACTTTTTATAAGGGCAGATAGTGACAGGATGAGGGGAAATGGTTTTAAAGTGGAAGAGGGTAGATTTAGACTAGGTATTAGGAAGAAATTCTTTACTGTGAGTGTGGTGAGACACTGGAGCAGGATGCTCAGCAAGGTTGTGGGTGCCCTGTACCTGGAGGCATTCAAGGCCAGGCTGGATGGGGCTGTGAGAAGCATGGTCTAGAGGGAGGTGTCCCTGCCTGTAGCAGGGAGATTGGAACTGGATGATCTTAAAGATTCCTTCCAGCTAAAACAATTCTATGATTCCGTCGTCAGTGCAACAATCTAACTCGGATCTTAGATAAAAGGCTGAAAGATGGGAGCACTTGAAAGATAAAGACAACTTAGAAATAAGCTATGATTTTTTTAGAACTCCTGCCTTCCCTAACTAGAACTGCCTAGAGTTCACATAAGTTCAGATTCAGTTGAATGTATGCCCCAAAAGATCATCTGTTCATGTAATAATTCTTTATTATGTGTGGCTATTTTTTTTTTCCTGAATTACAATGAGATCAACTGAAGGTGTCTTGTAACCAGCAATACAGACTCTGCAGGGTTGTTTTTTTCTTCATTTTGTTGTTGTTGTTTTTGTCTTTTCTTTTAATTAAGAGTTGTAAAATAATTCTTAAAGGCAAATGACTCCATTAGGTTACCACAGATCTGTCTTCTACATCCAAATTTTGGGAATGTGTATGTAATCTCAGTGTGCATCTTGCCAGCTGGCTTAAGTAGGTCACTTTGCAAAAAATGTTATGAATTCTTGTCCCTTTCCTCTTATCAGCAGGAGGATGATGAAATTGTATGGGATCTGCTGACTGATTTATCTGAAAACTAACCTACAAAGTAAGTATTAGTTCTCAGCTTGATAAGCTGCTCTACTTGTTGTGTTAGTGTTGTTGTTAGTGTTGACAGAAAAATTGGGATAGAAAACTATACTTCGGGAAGCTGGGAAGGGCAGGATTACTTCTGATCAAGATCAAGTTAAATTTGAGGAGAAAACATCTGTGGATTTATGCCTACAGCATTCATTACTTTGTGTAAATATTTTTTTACCCAGTTCTCCTTTTGACTCATATGGCTGGTTTACATGCATCAGAGCTAGAAGTGGGCAGTGAAGACTTTTTGTGATACTGGGAAAGCTGTAGGTGGTGCCATGGAGCAGTAATCCTAACAGCAACTGGTAATGAAAGTAACACCTGAATAAACAACCTTTTTCAAAGAAAAATGCATCAGATATCAAGGAAAAAATATCCCAAGTTCTTAGCACAAGCCCCTCAGCACATATGCTCTCATTCATTCTGTTTGTGAGTGATAGGTGCAACAACACTGCCTAAAGGAAGGTGGAGACAGTCATAAGCTATCGCTGTCTACATTGTGCTCAGTTAACTCTAGTGGCCACCCACTGCAGATGGTAATTGTGCTGCTCAGTCAGTATTTATGTTTTATTTGTTGTGAGATTGCTCATGCACTGTATGCTAACTGACATTAGGAGAAAATTAATTTTCTTAAGTAAGTGGGTGCAGTTAGTATTCAAGCCACGTACATACTTTTTATTGTTTGGCTGAGGTTTTTTTTAAGCACTTTCTTCAAATTTGTATTTCTTCTTTCAATTTCCAATGAAATGCCTGTATTTCTTCCTTATCTGTAATGCAAGAGTTTGCTGAACTACTGGTCCAAAAGGCTGGGAATTAACTGAGGCTGTAGTTGTGCCATGGCTCTTGCCACCATCCCATTTCATTTCAAATTCTGCTTCTTTTACTGCTCGGCATGCAAGGTCTTGTTTCCCCCCTGGTCTTGCATTCATTTTGTAGTTAACATCCAGTCCGGGCATGATGCTTTCCTTGCCAAATGAATATTTGTTGTCCTGATTATATATGTTGATAATTATGTTTCTTTTCTCCTCTATCAACAAATTATCAAGGGATGTCAATTTGTCATCAATGATTTTTTCCTTGATAATCCTTACGTAGAGTATATATCCTTAGGCTATAAAAAAAGAAACAACAATCTATTATGACTTATTTTAACCTTTATCAAGCCTGTTGGCCGACAATGAATAGTTTCTTCAAGTTAGCCGATGTACTACAATTTGGTACACTGCAGAATTTGTTGTTTGTTGTGCCTATGCACCAAATGTCTATGATCTTGGCACTGGGCAGCAGGGTGGTTCCTGCCTCTCTACTCTGCACTGTGAGACCTCACCTGGGGTACTGTATCTAGATGTGGAGAGATGTGGACCTGCTGGAGTGCATCCAGAGGAGGACCACAAAAATGATCCAAGGGATGGAATACCTCCCCTATGAGGACAGGCTGAGAGAGGTGGGGCTGTTCAGCCTGGAAAAGAGAAGGCTCTGGAGAGAGCTTAGAGTGACCTTTCAGTATCTAAAGGGGATCTGTGAGAAAGCAGGGGACACTTTAGCAGGGTCTGCTGTGATTGAACAAATGGAAATGGTTTCAAACTAAAAGGGGGAATTTAGATTTGGGTATAAGAAAAAAGTTTTTTACAACAATGGTGATGAGGCATTGGTACAGGTTGCCCAGAGTGATGGCGACATTCAAGGTGAGGCTGGATGGGGCTCTGAGCACCCCGACCTAACTGTACATGTCCCTGTTCATTGCAGGAGAGTTGGATCAGATGACTTTTGAAGGTCCTCAACCAATTCTGTGATTTGATTCTGCACTCCAGTGTCCAGAAGCTGAAGCTGTCATCTGCTTTGGTGAGGTAGCTTCTGCGTTAAAAGTGAATGTATATATCATGACCTTTTCCCAGGCTCTTGGTTGATTTTTGTTGTCAATAAATGTAGTCTGTGCTCTCAGCTATGCATCTTTTCCTGACCAGCTGAGATATTCCTTATTTCACTGCACATATCTATTGTTGTATATTTATTCTTTTATCTACTACTGTCACTGTTGTGCCCACTTTAGACAAAATCCCATCCTTCACAATTTATCAATTATTTCTTAGGAAAGTGCAATAGGCATTTCTTTGATTATACTTGCAATACTAACAGTTTTGCTGCTGTAGCACTATGGAGTTTCCTGGCTTTCTTAGAATCTCCAGAAGTAAGCATGACTATGTTGCAAATGTTTGTTAACACCAGTTCTACAGAGCCTGTGGTGCTATGCCGTGGAAGGTTAGCAGCCTACACATGTACACTTTGCTAAGACAAGTTTAAGGTCCTGATAAATACACTTCTATCAGAAATTTTTTATCCTCTTATAGAAGAACTTTCATGCTATTAGCATGCCTGAGAGCGTTCAGCAATGGTTTCCTCATGCCATTTCCTAATGATTTGTTATCAGATTGCATATTTGCTCCATGTAGTGATGGAATTACTACCTTCTAGGGTGTGCAGTAGGTTCTTTTTTTGTATGAGGCTCAGCTTTGCATGTCTGGAAGGACTATTTTATCAGAGACTTGTGGTACAACTTCTGGGTATCTTCTGTAAGTCCTTCCATGTAACTTTAGTTGCTTCATTTGTTTACTGTACATTAGACCTAATGTCTTGCTTATGATTTTTTAAGGATTCACATCAGGTCTGCCTTCTTTTTCATTCTTAGGTCATCTCTGTCAGTGATTTCCTTTATTCATGCATTTCTTTGATTGCCCTTAGGGGAAGTTTTCAGGGTACAGTTGTAATCCCTGGTTTAGATGTTCGTAGGCTTCTTCTGCTTCAGTTTATTTCTGTCCACCCTGAAATGTTGCCTTTGATGCTTTTTGGGAGTTTCTGGATTCTTGGCAGTTGACTGCATTTCTCATTCAATCTCCTTCTTTCTAAAATGCTACTCAGTTTACAGTGGAGCACTTCAGCCCTCAAACTGGTGTGTATATCATTCAAACCCTGAGGTATCTACTGAAAGATTTGAAAAATTTTTCAGGAGTGTCACAGGTTGTACCTAAAGGAAACACCCTTTTTCTGACTTCAGGTTCACGCTGAGTTCTTGAAAAATGTCTCTATCTTTTCTTATGAATGGAATGGAGTTTACAGTGCCAAATATGTTTTCCCTTTTTTTTTTTTTTTTGCACTGAGGATAACTGTGGTGTTTATAGGACTACTATTTATTTTTATTTACAAGGAGCAGAACACTAAGAGTAGCTTTCTTACTGACAGTTTGCATTGTCTTAATAGCTTGTAGCACTTGGTAACTTTTCTCTCATTTATTATTGCTTCCTGGAAGCGCTGCAGTCAGTTTTTATATCTTGATCTTCAAAGAAGTGGATAATGTTTGGATCCCTGCCTTGAACTTTTAGTTTTCTTTACTGATTGAAAACATTTCTATAGAATAAGGTTTGTCCCCAAGCTGTTAACTAGTTTTCCAATACTGAAGACCCAAATTTGCTTTTGAAGATGTGTGATGCATCTGAGACAACAGCATGTGGAATCATTAAGTTTGGAAAAGACCAGTAAGATCATCTAGTACAACCATCAACACATCATCAGTTGCTGCCATCATCACCTATCCGTATTTCCATCACTGTCACTGTACCCAGTCTGTACCCAGACTGCATCTATTTCATTTCGTTATATTTTCCATAGTCAGTCCTGTATACAGACTGAACATTTTTAATGTAACTTCTACACATAATAATCCTGTGCAAGGCTGAAAAGTCAGCTTTTCTATGAGTCCTAGTCCCTCCAGATTTCCTGTTTTCTCTATTTTTAATACACCTTTATTTTATTTTCTTTCTTAGTTACCAGGCTTTAGTGGTCTGACTTTATTGCATACACTACATACTGAGTACAGTAATGAAAAGGGCTTTGTATTTGTTAAAGTAAACTGGCCCTCTGTTAGCAGAACTGTTCTTTCAGCATTGCAGTAGCTGGCTTTCTTTCCTTGTCTGCAGATGCATTCTTTCATCAAGCTAATAGCAGTGTGGTACCGAAAGGGTTCACCCACGTTATACAACCACTTTAATAACCTGAATTGCCATCTTAACACAGCTAGTTTTTCTGCTCTTGTTTGGAAAGCTATTTCAGAATGTGATGGGTTAAAATCCTATTTCTAGTTATGGTTAAATTCATGGACAGTCTGTACTCGTTATTCAAAGTGCCCTCACTTCTCTTCCATAAGCTCTGTATTCTAGCTATCTAATCCAGCTTGAAGTTACCTTTATTGAAGAGGCTGACCAGTATGATAGGCAGAATTCCAGGTGAGATTATTCAGTACTCTACCTGGTGGCACTCATCTTTCCCAGTCTCTAATACATCTCTGAAGTCTTCCATTTTGTAAATTCTGCTGTTCAGTCCATATTTACTTCTGCATACTTAAAAGCAATAAAGGGACATTTTTCATTTATTTAAGATTGTCTCAAGACTGCCCTAGAGAGGAGGCTTACTGCAGCTCTTCCTTCAGGTAGAATGAGAACTGCTTAATTACATGTCTCTCCATGAATACTCCTAAAAGGGAAAGATTTAAGTTTATCCTTTGAAGAATAGTGACCACAAAGTAATGCATAGTTGTAGTAAAGATGCTAAAATGGCAAAGGTTCGTTAAAATAATAATTATTGACAGTAAGCGATGATTTACAGAGGAGAAAGCAAATTAAATGGCTTGCAGTACACATAATCCAATGTATTTTACAATGGGCTATAATAAGAGCCAACCTTTATAAAGCAACATACATGATTTAGTTCTTCAAATCTTACGTGTGCAACCAAGAAACAGTGCTCCTTTTTTGCTTTACTGCAGAGATCTGTATGTGCTGATTTTAGCTTTCAAAATGAGACATGTTAAATTACTTTTAGTGAATTGCAACTGCTCCAGCAATGGTTTTACTCCTAGACAAAGATTACATTGTTTGGCTTCCAGAATTGTAAGTAGTGCATAAAAAATATGCTTGCTTTCATCATTATTTCTGATAGAATCATACTTGCCAGTTGCCTGGTAAGTGTTTCACTCACAGTCTTCGTGACCTACTGCTAGGTCCCTTTGTGTTCCTGTTGTTGCACAAAAGAGACTGAAAATTGCCAATAGAGCAGCAGCTAAGAAATCTTTAAGGAGGAGGAAATTCTGGACTTCTGCAGTTGGCAAATTTGGTTCTGTAAAGACCTTGTTCTTAGGGATGAAGATGAAAGTGAAAAATAATTTTGGTTGAGAGTAGCATCTGTTGGAAATACTTCATTTGTGAAAATGTTAATTCACCAATTTTTGTTTGAAAAATGAACATTCTTTGATACTGAGAGAAAAAGTTAGAAGGTAAACAAAACCAACCAGAACTTACAACTTGTAATTCACTATTCTTAAGGAAACGTCATGCTACTTGTTTAATGCTGTGCTTTCAGAATCTTATTCTTAACATATTTTATTTTCAACCTTAGTTAGAAAACAGTCATTTCCAGTAATATTTTATTACTCTAGGAGCAACATTGCTGGACCTGATGTTTTAACAGCCGGCTTTCAGGACATCAATGTTATGTGTCTGATTTGATAATTGCCACCATGTGAGGTTGGAGTAAATATAGCACATCAGGAGCTTTATTATAAATGGTAAGTTATAAGCAGATGCGTCTGTTAGCATCATGTGGAGGAGCCCTGTTGGGCATAACAGCACAGGTCAGGACTAGTCAGCCACTATAAGCTGCTTTAAATTGTGCACCTTCCAAACATAGGTGTGCCGCATCTTACTTCATATTAATTGCGACACAGACGTGCTATGAAAGAACCTTAGCGGCTGTTGGCATTCTGACTTTGGCCATCTGGAAGTTTGCAGAGCCTGTGATTAGCATTCACTGCCAAGCCCTGCCTTCCCCATGCCTGTTCCCATGGAAACGGCTGCAGCTGGGAGAGGAGGGATGGGGAAGGCTTTCTTGTTATCGTTTGCATGAGGTCTTTTGTCCTGATTGAGAGTTCCCAGGACAGCAGGAAATCAGCAGTGAATGGAAGGCTGCAGACCTCACCTGGGGAAGCCCAGCTGACTCGCTGGGCCAGCAAGTGCACTTTTCAACCAACACCACACATTTCTCAGTCTCCTAGAGAGATATGGAAACATGGAGAATAATGATAGTGACAGAATCACAGAAGGTCTTGGGTTGGAAGGGACCCTAAAGCCCATGCAGTCCCACTGCCCTGCCATGGGCAGGGTTGCCCCCCACCAGCTCAGGCTGCCCAGGGCCCCATCCAACCCGGCCTTGAGCACCTCCAGGGCTGGGGCACCCACTGCTCTCTGGGCAGCAGTAGCAGCAATAATGTGAAAACTACAGAGTAATCCAACTGATGTATCTTAAGTTAAGGATCACAACACACTTTGGCACTCTGGTCTGTTAGTTTTGGCCAATGCTTTGGAATATCCTTACTTTATTACTATTGCTGTTATTTTTGTTAGAGCAATACTAAAAAGAAGAAAAAAGATGGCAATATTCCTAGTGCTACAAATGCAGTTACAAAATACACTGGGATTTTTAGGTTGCTGATAGCATCTTCAGATGCACAACTTGGGAGATGACACAAAACCATCACATGTAACCAGTGTGTTCATGTTTCCAGCTTGTTGAAATTATAACTGCCCCAGTAAACAAATGTAGGGTTTTATTTAAATCAGACAACGACGTTCACATCTTCAGCCCTTTACAAAATTGCCCAGCAGTGGTGTGAGCACTGTAAATCTGAACATAGTTTTCCTAAACGGCTGGCTTTTCTTGGTTGCTTTGCAAAGGCTTTTTTTTTCATCTAGGTTGTGGACTGCCAGTAGTAAAATTGCTACAGCTTCCATGCTGTCATTGGTGTGCTAACCTATGCTGCTTAAATTGCTGGGATCGATGTGGACACCCTTCTTACACCGCTTGATGCCACGCCCAGATGTCCCAGTCTTTTTTGGGGATGTTCTGTGCTTCAGTCCCTGCCTTTTTTCTATGCATAGACTCCTCCCCTTCAGAAAAGACATAAAGCGAGCGACTCTTCCACCTGAATCATATTCCTTCCTCACCTGCACGACTGGCTTCACCTCACATCTGCTGATACATAAAGTTTGATTCTTTCTTCTCGTTACAGAGCACTGATTCAGCCCTTGGGCTGTCATTTCTTGGCACTTGCATTGGTGATTTTTCAGGTACTTTGCTTCTAAGGTAAGTTGGACAATAACGGGATAAACCTGTATGAGTAGAAAGCGTGAAAGATTCTCAGTGACTGGTAATGTATCATGAAATAGTTTAAGGACTCGGCTAAATGTGCTTCTTTCTCATGCCTGCTATTTTTCTGTCATCTTTAGAATCGGTTTGAAAAGATTTTTCTATTCTTGTCTGCCAAGTTAAAAGACTTCCAAAATGTTTGTTTCTGTCTTTGTGAGGAATATGTAAATGGGACTGGTGGTACTGATGCTTGTGAATCTACCTAAGGAATTATGGCTTCTGCTGTGGTGGTTCCTCCATACCTCACTGACTTTGAGACACATCTTTTGCCAGTTAACTTTTGATCCAAGTTTGCTTGGCTTGCTTTTCTTAGAGTTTCTTTGAAATGATTCTTAATAAATGTTAATTTAAACATGCCCAAAAATCTTTAGCTACAGCAGCATCACAATAGATTTTCTTCTTTCTTGTTTGCATTAAAATTGGCGAGAATTGCTGCCTACTCTGATCCGGTTGCACTTCTCATACTTTCGTAAGCAGGTAAAAAAGACTACATATAAGCATATAGGTTTATTTTATGAACAGTCATCCACTCTTACATATACCAAGCTGTATTCAGAGTGAGAAGTAATAACCTGTGATGACTTTAAGCATCTTGGAAATGTTGCTCTTTTTTAAGCTGCTTATATTTATCTCCTATTAGTTTTACAGTCTTTTTAACAGGAACCTGTGAGTTTATTTCAATGGTTGCAGATTTTCTACAAATTCTGTTTCACTGTCACTTCTAAGCAATTTATCTGTGCCTGGTATTTCTGTTTGGGGGAACAGAGCCTGGTATGCAGTAAGCAGTGGGATGTCACCTCTGTGCTCATGTCCACCAACCTAACCTTCAATAATAAAGTCAAGAAAGAAGAAGAATGGTTGAGAATAACTCTTCTGATAGAAAAGACTTAAGAACAATGCAGCTGGCCTCTTTGATCCTGTTTCTCCTCTCAGTAAAAAGAACAGAGTAGTTACAGATCTTGCGTCAGTGCTACTTCTGTCTGTCAGTAACCAGAAGCACTAAAGCTGCTACGCTACAGCTAAGCGTGGTTCTGGTAATTCCATCATCTCAAAAAGGGTACAACAAAATGAGAAAACAGAAAAGGGCAATGATCATAGCCATGAATGCAGAAGCACTGCCATATGAAGATTACTAAAGCAAGCCAGGCTTTTTCATTCTGGAAGCTGAATGAGGGTTGAGAGAATGTGACAGAAGATTTCAGAAATGCTTAGCGGAGATTCGGAGGGATTCCCATTTGCAATCCTTATGTGGCTACTTGAGGGCATCAAAAGAAGTTGTAGGAGTCAGATTCAGAATAGAAATCATTCTTCATGCAATGGACACTACAACTCATTGCAAAAGGGTGTTGTGGATGCTGACTATGTGGATGTAAGGGGAGACTGGATAAGTACATAAATGAGAAATTTCATAGATGTTTTCTGTATATAAAGAAACTGCATCCAGCTGTTCCATGGAGGTCCATTGTCACTGCTTTTATAGACAGAATACTGAACTATGTGATCATTGTGTTTTCTATGTCTTCAGATGGATCTTATATTTTGGGATATCTTCTAAAAGCCTGTGTTTTTGAAGAGCCAACTCGAAACCCCAGATCAATTTCTTTTGCTGCTTGCGATATTCCTTGTGGCCAATGACTCAAATAGAAGAAAATACTGCCAAAGGTGTTGCCCAATGCTATTCCATCACCTCTATAAAAGCATTCTATAAAACTGGTTCTATAAAACTGGTTTTCATTGTTGCATGAAGATTATCTCATATCTAACTGACTGTTGTCACAGCGCAAGCAGCTCTGATGATAGAGAATATTAGCCCACTGTTATAAATTAAACTTAATGCAGTTTAATTTTCCTTTAACTGAAGAGATTTGCTTTAGAACAATGGGATGTTTTCATACTGGTTACTTTTATTTTTTCCCAGGCATGGAGAAGGCGATTGTTCGTCCATATAAAAGGCCAAATGCTCTCTGTAGGCTGATTTGCTTTCCCTGGGCTGGAGGTGGAACTTCTCACTTTGCTCAATGGGGCAAACTCTTTAGCAGCTCAATTGAAGGTTGGTCATTTGTGCAGTTAAAGCAGAAGTTAACAAAGCTGGGCAGTCTGAATTGTAGTTACCACATTTTTTTTAGACAGAATATCACGTTCTTGAGAGCACTGCAATCTTTTTTCCAGTGGACCTTATATCTACAAAGGAATTCCACTAGGAATTCACATTTCCATTAGGATTATGGGTTTGCTAAGCTTCTGTACCACCTTGTACCTTATACTTGACTAAATTAAAAAGTTACATCCTCGGAGCTAAATTTCTGGAGACCATGTAGTATGCTTGCTGCCTCACAAACTGCTGGTATATTCAGAAGCAGCAACACAGTTGCATATTGTTAACTGTGTTAAAACAAGGCATCAGTGGTGCCTTATAGAAGCCTTATGAAGAGCTAAGAAGTACTTTTTAACACTGGGAGGCTGCACATAATTAATTTCATTTATCCAGAGCATTTGCATCATTCTGCACTCCTTGTTATCAGATTTTAAGTTTAAACAATGGATTTATAACAGTGACATTACATTTAGTTACAGCGTGAAGCAATTGCTGCCAGGCTGTATCAGTGCTAAAATGATCCAATGCTGAACTATTCGAAGAGGAACCAAGGCCTCATCCCAGACCTCCCAAAAGAGGAAGTATTTAGCATTTATGGAGGCCATTGCCATTGCAGTTGTACTGCTCCTCGAATTGCTTGCATGCTTCCTGCAAATTGTTGCATAAGTCACATCTACCTTTCCTAGAAATTAAAAGAAGTAAAAACTGAAAAAAGGAAAGGCTTTTGTTCAGAAGGAAAAGCTTTCAACAAAGTTACTAAGGAGATGGCCTAGGAACAACTGCAGATCCTGACGGATAAAGGGAGAAAGCAGCATGCTCTTTCAGATGCTTTAGTTGTCTTAAAAAAAAGATAAAAAACATGAACATTTTTGTACCACTATCTATGGTACTATGCAGTAGCTTATTCTATCTCTTGTAAAATACTTTGTGTCTTACCCGTTACTTTCAGAAATTCAGGAAGCCAACATTCTTACCTATCTATTAATTCCTTATTTTCTTTAAGCAGTGAGAGAAAACTCCAAATTTTTGAAAGGAATGTAATAAAAAGACATACTGTGCTCATCATAAAGATTATGTGATGATTCTTCATTTTACCGTGCACAGCCCCAAAGAGACTTCCAAGGGGAACACAGGGACTGCATGATTCTGATAGTTGGTTAACTTTGTAATGCCGCCCTTGAAAGAATATTCTTTATTCTTTTAGTGAAATTGGTGGATTTTTCATTGTTATTAGTACTCACTGCAATAAAATTGCTTTAAAACCTCTGCTGAGATCGTTATCTCTGCTGAGCCTGTTATCATTTTAAGTGAATTTCTGACTCGAGGCTTTTATAGATTACTACAATGGGAGAGGGAACATTTGTGAGTAAAGGAGGGGATGGAGACTCGATCTGTCGTTAATGACAGGATTAAATGATAACAGTAGGAATAGCAAACACAATGTACCAACCATAAAAGGATTAGTTTACATAACCTGCATATTTTCAGAACCGATGAGAAAACTGAATGAAAATGACTTTACTGTTTGCACTTGAAATGACTGCAATTCTTTTCCGTCTCTTCCTCCGTCTCTTCTGTAGTGTCAGTTGTAAGGCTTCCTGGAAGAGAAAGTCGCGCTAAGGAGCCTTTTGCAAAGGACATGACAGCTGTCATTAATGAAATAACCAGTGCTTTGCTGAAAGATCTGCAAGAAAAACCATTCGCCTTCTTTGGTCACAGGTGACGTTACATACATTTTCAGACACCCTGGTGAAGGAACACTTTAGCTTTGTATAGTCATTCAACCCTCTTGGCAAAAACCATTGGCAAATACATTCCTGCAAAGGTTTTGTCAAGCTGTGCTAAAAGATGCTGCTGATCACAAAGACTGTGTATTTATTTCACATTACTTTTAAATGACTTTGGATACAATGTCTTCTGAAAATGGCAGTGCTGTGATTTCTTTTTACACTAATACATTCCAGTTGTTTAGTGTTAATATTTGTGTCAACATTTACTCCTTAATGAATGCATGAGGTGAACCAATCATTAAACAAACATGTTCTGAAGATCACTCAGTTTCAATTCCTCAACATAACTCTCTTTACTGTAAATATGGGAAACTACTACAATAAATGTAGGCAACAAAAGCCTGATTTGTAAAACCAGCATGTATTGAAATGCATCTTGTGTGAATTAGTTACTTTCACTATAATTTGTCATAATTTCAGAACCATAAAATTCACTGTATTTACAATTTCTGTCATTGTTAAAGATAGCCAGTTAGCACTAATGTTCAAGTTATGTTAATGTTTTCCAGATTTTACTTATACTTTTATTACTTTCTCTTTTTGCTGCAGTTTTGGAGCTTACATCAGCTATGCAGTTGCAGTACACTTGAAAGAAAAGCATGGACTAGAGCCGATCCATCTTTTTTTATCAGGGGTATATGCCCCACATGTAAGTTACAAAATCATTACCAGTGCAAAGGAGAACAGAATATTAGCCAGCACAAGTAAAACACCTGTGGTATCCTTTTACAGTATTGTATATGTCAAGTGCTTTAAAACAAAGCAAGCTTCAGGCCACATCAGAAAAATGTTCCGATTTTTTTGAGGATATTAATTCTGAGGTGGATGGAGAATTTCAGTGGAATATTTACCACAGCTAACTTTAACCTAGAGAGAGCAATCTCCTTGATCTTCTCAATACTCTATTATTTACTATGGCCTTTGGCTTCAGAGTATTAAAAACAAAACAAAACAAAACACAAAGTTACACTCCTTTGTAACATGAAATAACTGTCTTACCCCAGTTTTTTTATCAGCCTCCCACACCAGCCCTCAGCGCATTTGCCGTTTATTTTTTTTCTCCTTTTAATCCTTTTTTACTTTCTTAATTTACCTTCAGTACCCCCTGCTTCTGATTTTCTGGTTGTTCTGCTGGTTCTCCTGCTCTTTCTCAGTAAAATAACAGCAACTGGGCTTTTTCCCAGCCCTCCTGTGTTCAGCTGCTCTTTGCTGCTTCCATTCTTCTCTTTCTGAGACTTGTTAACAAGCATGCTTGAGCATGAGCTAGTGCTTCATAGAAGTAATTATGAGTCCTGAAACTTTCCATAACCTCTAGGTCACTCCAGCAGTACATCAGTGGGCACCGTGCCCACTAGTTAGGCTTTTCTTCACTGTTTTATTCCTTACATTCCAATAGCGAGAGTCAAAATCAAATTCATTGCTACGTGTCTGAAATTCTCAGTGTTTTTCTCACTTACCATCAGTTAGCAAACACTGTCTCCTAACCCTCTCTAAGAAGCATTCTCTGCAAATGTTAAACTGATCAGCCACTGAGTACTGGTAATAGAGCATCTTCCCAGTTTTTCACTAAAACAATTCTTAGTGAAAATATTATTTAAAGTGGTGTATACTATGGTGTACTATTTAATACTGTGCGTATTATACACAACACCTGATCTTTTGTCTGGTGCTCACAGTCTGAAGCATTTCTTCTGATGGGAAAAGTAAACGAAGCAAAGGATGAAGACATTCTTGAACATGTCAAATTCTTAGGAGGAACTCCTTCTGAGTTTCTGAAAAATGAGGACATCAAGAAACACTTGATACTTACTGTAAGAAAAGATGTTAGCATTCTTCAGACATACTCGTAAGTTTTACAACTTTGTATGACATTTATATTTTACAGCTTTCATTCTTCCTGATTCTTTCAAGTAGTTTTTTTTTTATTTATTCCTCTGCAATTTGCTCTGGTTTCTGCTATTAAAAAATATGAACCAGTAAATATAGCTTTCTCTTTAGTGTATCTTTATGTCTACTTTTTCTGCCATAAATGAAAACACTGCTTATGAAACCACCACAACTATTATTACAGTACTGATTATGTCATGGTAGAACTTGAAGCTAGTCATGCTTCAGGATCCTGTTGTTCAGCCTTCTGATCCAAAGACCGCTAACCTAACCAGAAGCAAAGAATCCCTTTCTTCTAGGAACAGAGAGGAAACTTCCATGCCACCTACTATTCTACAGCTAGCTTACCTAGTTGTGGATAGTTAAAGTTTCTCACCCTGGCAAAGTGAAAGACCTGTTTTGGCCCTAGGCACCTGACACTGATAAGGCCCTGAAATATCAGAACTTCAATATAAGCAGAAAGCATACATTTTATTGTCAAAGAGAATTTTCATTGCAGGTTAAAGCTCTTTTTTCTTAACTGTTGAGTCATTTTTTCTTTAAAACTTGAGATGTAAGTGCAGCAGTGTAAGGACTTAAGAATCTCACAAACACAGTAATTCCACTTCTTGATGTTCTGCACAATTTAACCCATAAAGTTTATGTTGTTTTTGAGTAGCAAAAAATAGCTATTCTGTATATAGAGGCAAAACCCAAAACCCAAAGGTATCTTAGGAGAGAGAAACTTATGGTAATGAAACTTTTTTATGTTCACAGTTTCGAGAAGGCAGAAAGAAAAACCATCTTCTCTTGTGATGTCACCTGCTTTGATGGCTCTGAAGAAACAGTGCATGATGCCGAAGGTACTTTGCTTAAGTATCTTCCTTTTCTGGTTAGGCATTTCCCTGCTGTAGCAAATCATTTCATGAACAGAGTTCTCCGGGGTCTTTTACCACCTTCTTAAATAAAACAGAGATACAATGAAATACAGAGAAAGCTGTTGATGAGGGATTTAAAGCAATTACTAAATAATTTTGAAGTGGTTTCATAAGATAACCAGAATAGTTGACATTTCTGACCCTTTAAATATCTTTTTCAGCCTGGCTCAATATAACCAGAGGAGATACTTCCATTTACAGTCTTCCTGGAGGTCACTTTTATCTGCTGGAACCTTCAAATGAAATTTTCTTGATAAAACACATAACCAAGTGCATAGAAAATGCTGCTTTATGAGTATTTCCCTCTATTTTAATAGCAAGTGCAAGTCTACAGCACTTAATAATTAAGTCATTCTTTCTGCTGAATTGCACTGTTATGCCTAAAAGTTACTCTGTTCCTCCAGAAGATCTTCACCATAATTCTTTAAAAGGGTTTAAAGAGTTGTTCTGATTTTTGAAAATAAACTCTAGCTTTGTATCTTAAAAATAAAACACTTTTCATTTTTTCTCTCTCTTCTCATCCAGCACATGCATAAACCCTTCACTTTATTCAACATCAGCTGCCAAAAGTGACAGCTATTATAAGTTATTTTACCTTAAGAACTTGTGTGCACTGTAGAAATGCTAAATATGATTTTATACCAAAAAAAAAACCAAACAAACCAAAACCCACAACTCTTACAGAAGCATTTATTTGATAGGCTCAGATTTAATTAGAGTAAGATACAGTCTAAAAACACAGTATGCATGTGAACACCTTTCGCGCTGTGGTGGCTCACGCGTAAATGATCTTACTGTTAGATTTCACAATAACCAGTTAGTACTGCGTTCTCCTCTGCAGAGTTACTTCCTTCATCACTGAGAAGACTCAGAGTGTGATGTCTGAGTATTCTAAATCCCATATTTTTCTATCAGTGCTTTTGCTTTAGAAATATAGGCGTTCATGGCATCCTCCTTCGACATACCTGCAAAGAAAAGGAGTCATTATCTTTTCTTATTTGCCATCCTGTTGAAGTTATTACATGAGATAAATTTAATTGCTGTAATACCTCTTTTCAGGTTCCACGCCTCCCATTTGGCTTTGCCTTTCATATCTAACATTCCTGGACATTCTGCCAAAATAAATGTATACCTTCATTAATTATCAAGCAGATTTATAACACATTTTCTTGTTTTCAAGATACGGGCTAAATTGGATGTATATATGGGAACAGAAATACCAATATTAATGTCTCCAACAGTAGCTTGTTTGTAGAATCCATAGAGTTCTTTCAGTTCTTCATCAGTTGGTCTTGTTTTCAATTTTTTAACATCTTCTGCAGCTCCATCGAAGTCAGCCTAATGCAAGAGGAATACATAAAGTATTAGTCTGCCTCTGAAGGGGTGTGCTTAAAATATTCATTATAGCAAGCACGGTAGTTCATTATATGGTTTCTATTACTCATACGTTTAGTGGTAAGTCTAGGATTTTCCCATGAAAAGGTTTAATAAAGCCTTTAATAAACCTATGGCAGCACGGGGTCAGAACTCATGCATTCAAGGCCTAAGGTTTTGGCTAGCCTTGCAGAGGTCAGGCAGGGGGACTCGTTGGTCTTGTAGGTCCCTCACAAGTGAACCACTCCACTGTAAAACAAGTATTTCATTCTTAATCCCAACACCAGTAGACGCGACATACCTGACCCTTTTTGTTTTACTCATACAAGTACAAACAACAGCAGCACTCGTGCTCGGTCACCAGCAAGAAGAACTGGCATCAGTATCAATACACAATCAAGTTGCCACAACTGACTGAAGATTACATAAGTTTTATCTTCATCTTTACACTGTGGCCACTGCTGTGTATAAAGCCCTGCCAGGGCAGAGATAGAAGGACTATTTAAGTTGGTGGAAACCTCCTTTATGCAGAGTAGTTTTCTGAACTATCATCACAAAAAGAATGAGCTAGAAGCATTAGACTTGTACAGACAAAAGAAAAACTAAACAAGAAAAACAACCCACAATAAGGATGCCATTATTAGCTTCTTATTTTTCTATACTTTTATTCTATTTGGATCTATATGAAATATCACAAGCCATTGTTTCAAAAATATGCAATGCACATCTTTGTCAACAATAAGTGCATGGAAATGAAATTTCAATGACAAACATTCTTTTCTTCATCTCCCTCAATCCAATCTTTGTGCACGGATTTTGCTTAGGATTTGCTTGCTTACACAACATGCTTAGCCTGTAAAATATAATATCCTTTAATCATGAGCTGATCGAATTTCCCTCTCACTCCCCAAATCAAAAGCAGAAGTGCACATATAGATTATATATGTGCATATATATCTGCATATTACATATGCAGACATAGATTTACACACACGCATTAAAGATAAATGCAGAAATTATTATCACTACATGTGATAACAGTCTGATACACACAAAGAAAGAAGCCGGAATGAACTCTTCATCCTCAGTTTGCAAAACTCAGATGTTTCAGAGCCCTCCTGCTAAAACACTGCTCACGCTGCCCTCGTTTCCACACAGACTGAGTCAGTGACTGTAAGGGATGCGGGTGGCAGCTGTTTATCAAAGTGGTAATGGGTAGAAAGCATCTATAAGGTCTTTCTAACAGCGATGCACGGCTCAATTCTTACATATCGGGGCTAACGCGTTTATCTTCTAGCCGGAATTCAAGGCAGAATACAGCAAACTACAACGACCGCCGATGAAACAAAAACTGGCGTTCCGCTCGGGACTTGACAGCCCCGGCCCACGGAAGGAGCGGGCTCAGAAGGAACAACGAGCCCTCTGTGCCGCCCCTCGGAGCCGCAGCTCACAGCGCTGAGCTCTGCCAACGCGCCCCGCGTCGGGGCCTCTCACACACACACACACACACACACACACACACACACACACACACACAGCGAGCTGAGGCAGGATAAAGGGCTGGAGAATCTTAAAGCGAAAGGGAGAACGGAAAACCCCACAGAGAACAGCAGCCAAACCCGTCCTGGCACGGGCGAGGCGGGCAGTGACACGTGCCGCAGAGCGCTGGAAGGCAGCAACGAAGGTGGTTCGGTTCCTTCGGCAGCCGCTGACGCGTGGAGGCAGCAGCTTTCCTACCGAAACGCCACTTCAAGCGCAGCACTCCAAAGATGCGCACACCCTAAAAACTCCCTTAGGAATGCACGCTTCCCACACACACACGCATACCTGGGCTCGGCGCTTCCCCGTCCCGTGCCAGCCGCTAACAGCGAACCCATCCTAACAGAGCGAGCGCACCTGAGCGGCGCGTCTCCTCCCACCGCAGTTACAGTGCCCGGGGAGAGCGCCCAGCGGGCTGCGCACGGGTAACGCGCTGCTCTGAGCCCAAAGCGGACTCCCGTGCCGGGAGGTCACGGCCACGAAGACCGATGAGCCGCCGTCCCTCCCGCTCACCTGCAGGGCCATGGCGCGGCGTACACGCGAAGTCCGGCCTCTCTCCCGCAGCGCGACGCGGTGCCGTTGCCGTCCGCCCCTCGAGGCCGCGCGAGATGGCGAGCGAGCGGCGACCTCCCCTCGCGGCCGTTGCTGCCGTCACGGGACGGCGAGGCGCTGGCACGGCCGCCGGGATCTGCGGTGCCTCGTTCCAGCAGGCGCTCGGGGCCGGGTTGGACGGGCCCTGGGCCAGCCGAGACGGCGGGGGGCAGCCCTGCCCGTAGGGCTGGGTGGGCTTTGAGGTCTCCTCCAACCGAAAGCATTCTGCAGCCGCCGCCGCCAGCGTCACGGCGCTGTTACAGCGCGAGACCCGCTTCGCAGTACGGTCACCGTGAAACTCTTACTGACCAACTCACCATCAGTTCGTTACCCCGCGTATGACGAGGCACGCCTATTTATTTATTCCCCGCGAAAAGCACCCTGCAAAAAAAACTGACGGCATTGTTAGAATTAAGAAATGCCGGCTACCAGACCCGAAGCGGCAGCGCTCCGCAAGCACCTCCGTAACACCGCGGCTGCCCCCACGCGGCGGCCCTGGAGCACGGCAGCGGATGGGGCGGGAGTGCGCCGCAGGGGCGGGGCGGGGCGGGCCGCGCTCAGTGCCGGGCAAGTTCGTGGTGCTGGCGTGCTCGGGTCGGGCCCGACCGCGGGGGAGCGCTAGGCCGAGTGGGAGCGCGGCGTGGAGGCCGCGCCGAGCGGAGACCGGGTGCGTTCACCTCCCTTCCCGTCCGTACGGCGCGTTTTCAGGGCGCTGTGGTGGCTGCGCGCCTTAACTGCGATCTCTTTTCTTCTTGTCAGGAGCTGGCGGGAGGCTTTCACGAAGCGTTTGGAAACCGGAGTTTTCGAATGGAGGTAAATGTTGGAAGTGTTCACGTTGCTCATCTCCCCTGCTGGCAGCAGTGGGTCCTGAAGCTGATACGCGTGGAAGAAGTCGGTTTTTGTTTTTTTGCCTCGTCGATTCCCGTGCGTACACGCTTGTTTTCCTCAGTAGCGTCCATTTTGAAAAGACAAACGCAGGCTTCTTCACCGTAACCTTCTCTTAACGCTGCTTCGTGTACGATGCCTGTGAGATTTCTGGTAGCAGCTTCACAGGTCGCAGTGCGCTGATGATCTCTGCTCGGTGCGCTTGCCGTGCCTGAGCTCACGGGGTGGATGTGGTTTAGCTGAAGGAAAACCCCTCCAGACAGACGTTGCCTTGTGGCAGTGCATATGGTGGGGGGAATTTCAACAAAGATGTTTTCTTTTTTAAAACCAAGGTAGCCTACTATCAGTATGCAGGGAATTGATATGACCAAAAAAATGGTTTCTTGTAAATATCTAAAGGTTGCCACTGAAGTAATGTACGTTAGGGAAGGAGGGAATCTGAGGAGAGCCATGTCTGTTTCTCCTGAGGAAGATGAGTTCTGTTCTGTTGGCTGTGCAACAGTAAAGCAGTTTGGCAAGGAGATGCTGAACAGTAACCCAAGCATGAGAATGGGGACTTAGTGAGTTAGCAGGACTGGTAATCAGAGCATGCCTTCACATCAGGATAGTTCTAAAATGCAGCTGTGCAGCAGTGAAAACTGGTCTTTCAGAACTTGAGGGGTTTTTTGTTTTTAATCTGCGGAACCTCCTGCTACATTCATTCATACATACAGCTTCAGAAGGGTTTCCAGTCACTGGTGTTGCCTTGCTGGTAAAAAGCAAGCAACTCGTGCCTTGCTGAAGGATTATTAAGGATTAGCACTGAGCTGATATGAAGATGATTGCTGCCAGTATCACTTTGAGCTGAGATTCGTCTTCCGTGTTGCCAAGATGAGCCTCTAGTAATGAAGTCCACAGCAAATAGTGCAGGATTAGAACGACTCTTTGCCTTTTTCTTCCTTCCCTCCGCAGCTAGGTGGCGAAACAGAACAGAACCTGAGGACGCCTGTAATTCCACAAGGGACGGC